AAATTCTTCTGAATAGTCTCTATAACAAAAGAACAAGCATGATTCCAACCAAAAAGAAGGAATACAACACAAATTTTAATTTATCAGATTGCTGATAGAGAAGTACCTTTTGCAGTAATCAGATCATTATTACAATTTCATTGCTTACAAAATGCCTTTGATCATGTCTTGCATTAAGAAATCTCAATTTTTATACTAGCCTCATTGTAAAAAAATTAAGGCACCGTATAAAAATTAGCAGTGCAATTCCCTAAAGTAACAAATACAGAAAGTTTTCTCCCTTGTTTAATTTTGAGTAACACATATAGTGAATCCCTGCTTATTTGCGTTTCAGCATTTGCGGCTTCACACATTTTTCTTTAGAACATATGTACTTGTTATTCACAGAAACCCCAAATATTTGTGTATTTTTCTGAAGAAAATATGTACAAATTATTCGCTGAGAAGTGACTTAAAACATATAACTCCATTTTTATGATAAAACTTGGCAGAATTGTACATCTTCATTGTAAAAAACAAACGCAAAAACATGCATAGTACTTGGGCTTTGTTCATTGTTAGAAGCTGTGACTGGGGTCTTAAAAGTGGCTTATGCTAAGTTTGGGGGGCATCATCACAGTTATGTTTTTAGAAAATGTTTTAAACTTTATATTTTATGTCTTGTTACTTATATTTTATACAGAATTTGATACATCTATGTGTAATTAAAAACGGTTATTGTACGTATGGAAGAAAATTTATGCTAAGTGTATGGTCACCAATACTATTTTTCAAAAATGTTTTAAGAAGGGTCTGAAATGTTTCTAATGTGTTTAGGATAAAAGTTTAAGGCATATGGGGTTTTAACAATCAAAATACTTATAAGGTACTTATAAGTACTTTTAGAGGAGTTACAGGTATTTAATCCCTAACCTCCGTGAATACAGAGGACTCATTGTATCTGGAGAATATTATACAAGAGACCCTTTACATTATTCACATCTCTATTTTAATCCGTGGACAGCTGCTCAGCAACTGGCATTTTGTAGATGACATTGAACTTATTGAAGACAAGGAAACAGAAACTAAATTTCACTATTAGAATGGAAAAGCAGCAAAAGAATACAGAATAGATATTAGCTTGAAAAAGTGCCAATTAAGAAAAAAACATTATGCTCAATGAACAGAGATCGAATGATAGAGGATATATTTTTCTTTCTTAACAGCATTAATTGGTAAACAGAAAATGGTAGCTATTATACCAACTGTTTTGGTTCATTCTTAGTAATGTGTGCCATGTAGATAATACCATTCACAGCCAGCTCAGATAGCAGGGAAAAATCTGGACATGGTGATGACAATGAAATTCATTTTGGTAGCTGTATTGGGAGAAATACTGCAAATTAGAGAAAGAAATACAAATCAAATTCAGTTTAATTATCACTGAACTAAAAGTGTGTTAGATAAAGAATTACACAAGGACAACTATATTTGGATCTTTAAGTGATCTATTTAGTTATCCTCGAACAAAAAAATAAAATAAAAAAACACTGAACAGCAGTACTAAATGCTCAATTCCAATGTACCCATCATGATAATCTGATAAATTGATGAGAAATTTAATAAATTAACAAAACAATAAGTTTTAACAATTTTACTGATTTTGAAGAATTAAACATGAAAAATAATCAACAGCAGAAAGTTTTATGAATTTGTAAACCAAAAATTTGTCAAGTTATACAATAGGCGCAGCAACCAGGAATAACCATAAAATTCTTTTTTATATCAATATAGATTAAGTACACTGAATACAATAGTATCCTTAATTTATGTTATTTATAAAAGCAATTAAAAGCTTTCCTAATTAAATAATGTCTCAGTTTGATTGCATTTTTTATTTTATGATTCAGAGCAGATTTTTCAGTAAATGGTGTTGCTGTGTGATAAAAATAAATTGATGATTTAAATTCTCCAAGGAATCCTGCCTTTAATTAATATAAATATGAAGAGGCTGAAATTTTAATTTCTCGAAATTTCATAAAATTAAGTAAGTGGAGGGTAGCAGATGTAAAACAAAAAATATTTTTATCAAGATTTTCTTAAAAAAACATTTCATTCATTTGTGAATAAGTTCTGAAAATTTCATTAAAATCTGGCAATTTGATTTTTGGAAGAATTTCCAAATCATTGTTTTTTTTTTTTACCAGAGAAAAAGGTGCTAAAATACCCATAGTAATCTTTGACCCACTGCTAACAAACAAAAAAAGATTTTTAACCAAAATTTTGGACATGCTAGAAAGGATTAAAAAATAATAAAAAAATAATTTGGTCTTCCCTGTTAATAATAATAAACATTTTGATGATAAAACTTTTTCTTTTTTTAATCAAAATTGGGACCTTTTTTCATCATAGTATCCTTTTTTTTAATGAAAAAGTGGTGGTGCCTACTATAAATTGATGTCCCTATTGAATCCAAAACAAATGTAATTTCTTAAAATGCAAAAAAAAAAAAAAATTTGAAATTCATAAACTGTAGGTATTTTTTCATATATTACTATCGATTAAGCACTTCAGATTGAGTTTAAAAAAAAAAATTTTTTTTAACCTTTTCATAATTGAGCATATTTGTTTTGGCTTTCAGAAGTTAATGAATTTACATAGCAAACAGGACCCCTTCCTTATTAACACTTATAAAATTTAATAAAAAAATTCTTTTTCGATATTTGTGATCTGTAGTACCTAATTTATGGTAATACAAAGACATATTTTAAAGAAAATGATTATCTGTGGTTGTAGTGCCTGTTTTTCAACTCCACATCTAAAAAATTTTAAAATGTCAAATACTGAAAGAAAAAATTGTTGGCTTTTTGTTAAAAAAAATGGAGTGATACAAATAAATCTAAATGACATATTCAGGTGGATAATTAATTTCAGTTAAAAAAAAATAATACATTTATAATAGCTCAACTATTTTATCAAAACAGCAACCCCCCCCCAAAAATAACCCTTATATTTGTGAGTTCATATTGTTTTACAGAAATATTGTTACATAAAATTTGAGATGTATTTGATCTTAAAAAAAATATATATAAAAAATGTATCTAATTTTAAAATGTAAGATTATCAATTTAAAAATTTTAGCAGCGCATTTATTTGAATTATTTGAAAAAGTTCAAAATTAGGTCAGGTTTCATTCGAAGCAATTATGTCAAAAGAATATTTTACAGATGACATGATAATCTGTCAAAAGTTAACATTTCATTCACTTTGTTGAATTGAAATGTGTGTATACGTGTTAAAACAATTACAGAAAATTTTTTTTTTAATTAAACCAATTACCTATATCATTAAATGAATAAATAATTATAAATGCATAAAAAGTTTTAATGACCATTTCTCGTTAAATAAAGAGAAAGAAATGAAAGAAACAAGTCTATACAAAAGGCTCAAAAGGAGAAATGCTGCTGGGAGTCGAGTATAAAATTGATTTTTAAAAAACATTTTTTTAAAATCCGAGTATAAAAAGAATTAAAAAAAGAAGCACAATGTGATTGCCTCTTGTAAAAAAATTTGAAAATAAACATTAAAAAAAATCAAAACTTTCATAAAAACCAAGATTTATTCCTCAAGTACCACCAGCAGAACAATATTGACAACATATATTAAAACTAAAGTTGTATAAACAAATAATTCAACAATTTTCTTTGTTTTTAATAAGTGATAACTTACATGAGTTTTAAATGCTTATAAAATCTGTATAAATTTGTTCAGTTTGAAAAAGTAATCAGAAGTCTTCTTCTCATTTTGATCAGTATATTTCTTAATAATTTTAAAAACATTTACAACATTTGAACTCAGGAGAATTTTTTGTGTAAACAGAACAGGTTTAGTAGATGTTCAAGCAATCAAAATAAACAGGCTTAATTTTGTTTGATTTTAGAATATAAGAGATGAACGGAGATATCAAAACAAGCTTTCAGCAAAATTTATTTACTGCACAATGTTTGTGCAATAACAAAGATACTTTTTCTAAGGATTTGATTTATAAAGAATCATTTTATAAATTTTTTTAAACCTTAGTTATAGTAAATACCCATGCATCATATTGATATGTCATATAAAAATATATGATTAGTTTAAAAAAGATTTTAAAACTATAACTTGAGAACATACTTTACAATTGCATCCATAAACAGTAAAACAAGGTTTTGTAAATTGAGCCAAAAGTTAATGTTTGTCATTAAACAGTTGACATTGGTTTTTTATATATAAATCAAATTTGGTTAATATGTTTCACATGTTTTCTGTAGCGGATGTATGTACAATTTTTTTTTCTTTTAGAATGTTTCTGTAATTTTATGTAAACTCAAAGAATAACAGTCTCAGAAATATTTTTGTTACAAGATATTCGAAAAAAAAAGAAAGGAAGAAATGTCATTTTAAAAACAATTAGCCTATAAATAATTAAATTATTATTCAGATATTAAATATATAACCAGTAAGATGAAGTTTTAATTGAATAATCAGTTTAAAAATTTAACTATTATATCTGGAAATGGATATTTAAGAAATCATAAATTTTACTTTGTATATTTTCTCAATTTTTAAAAATTAATTTCCTCTTCTAAAAGCTGAATAAAACTAAAAAAAAAAATGTTTTTCCAGATGAGAAAACCATGTGGAGTTCACAATACAATAACTAGTAAGGAACAATGAAATTCAGCAAAGATTTTCTGGAATCTTATCTATTGCTATCATAAAATTAGATTCATTTTATCTAGCACACTCTTTTTTTCAAGTGTAGTGACACAGCTGCTTTGAAAGACAAATTCAGATGTTGTCATTACATATTAATCATCATATGGGTAATTTAACCAAATAACCAAATTGGATGACCTGACAAAGATTCAGTAAAATATGTCATGAAGATGAAATGCTAAAAGAAACATTAAAAATGAAGATGAGAATATATATAAAAAAACCCAAACTTTAGTATTATTTTGGTTTTGTTTCAAACTTAATCAAGAAGTGTTATTAAATTTTGGATTTTGGTTTTGCCAAGACCTGATTGACAGATAACCCAAACAAAACCAGCCAGCAATACACAACTGTAGATTGGAGGACGGTTTCTCTTTGTCTGTGTACATGGCATAGATGATTTGTTGATCTGTGCTTATGATGCGTTCTTCTAAAGCCTTTTTCACTCGATTTATGTATTCTTTACAAAATGTTGTCAGAACATCAAAGCGGCCCAAGTTGGCACCACCTGCCACCCATACCCGATTATTCCATACAATGTCTTTAAAAGAATAATTCTGGAAATCACAGACTTCACTGTAGGCCACACTGTTTTCATCAAATCGTTGAGGAACAGACAAGCCAAAGAGATTGTTTTTTTCAGTTTCATATCTGCAATAAAGAGTTAAAAAAATCTTTATGTAGTAAATATTTATTTTGTTTACTGAGGTCTATAAAGGTCATACAATGTTAAAGATTGTGATACTAGAAAGATAAATGTGTTTTGCCAGTAATTTTTTTCTTTTCGGCATTTTTACTGAAGATGACAGACAAGGTTTGTTTGAATTTTTTTTTTAGTAATTTTTTTACACACACTAAAACCAAATATCTTGGGTGAAAAGAAAAAAACAAAACAAAAAAAAACAGCAATGTCCACAAAAAAATGGTGTGTCGAAAGGACATTTATTCTCTTGACTTTGCTATTGCTGTATACGCTTTTGATTCCTTCAGCAATATTTATTTACAAGATTAAAAAAGTATGTGAACAAGTACAACGTATTATTTATTATTTACCTTTTATAAAGATTGATTATCTATCATTTTATAAAGAAATAAACTTGAAAAGAAATCTTTTTATTGAAAAATTAGTAAAAAATTGCAAAATTATTAAAATATTTAAACCAACTACAATGGAATATTTATTATTCATGATTTTATAAATATCTATGAAAACAAATTTTATTGATTAATTTTATAAAAATATCAATGAACTATACAACAAGAAAAATGTATAAATCCACTTTCATGTTTTGTTTTTATGAAAATTCTAATTATCAGTTTTTAAAACAAACGTTGGGGAAGTCAAAAGTGTGTATACAGTAATAGCAGTGTCAAGAGAATAATCATCCTTTTTATACACTGTTTTTTTTTTTTTCAGGCACATAGATTAAAGATTGCTATAAAATCACAAAAAAATGTTGTGTGTACATTATTTACAGTCAGACTAATATCCTAATCTTTGTTGTTATTATAACAATGTTTCAGCCATTATGCCATCTGGCCTTCTTCAGGTATCTGTTGATCCAGGTAACCTACATGGAATTTTGAACTGAACCCTATATATTTTAATCAATTTACCTCAATCAAGGCAATAATGCCACTAAGATACAAGAAGCTACTGGGAGTGAAGGACATTGAAAATACTTTAGAAGGAACCAGAAACCCAATCTTAAATACGAAATGAGATAAACATCTACTCCCATTCAAAAGACCAGGAAGGATTGTAAACTGGACTCCTTTTGTTTGGTTTGGTTTGGTTTGGTTTGGTTTGGTTTATTTTGTTTTACAGCATATCAATTTTAATGGATTATTTAATGCTGACAAGATTTTTAGGATAGGTCCTTATGAATAGAATATGTATTCTTTGTAAGAAATCAGTTTGTAGATCAGGTTTTTTTGACATATTTTTGTAAAGAGGGTTTTTGTCAAGAGTCAAATGTATTGCTGGTATTTTTACTATAGAATCTATTTTTATACTTTCATAGTGTTTTGACCCCCAGTTTGAGGGTTAACTATTTTCTCATAGCTGGGACCCTGGGAACAACGGTAATTAAGAAGTGGTTCCATGCTCCTCAAAACCTCTCAATCAGAAGCCTTGCTACTGGATGTAGTTTATCATCATACTCAGGATGGTACTCCTATTGAGGAAAAAAAATATATAAATAAATAAATAGTTTAGGCAGAGATGTTAGAAGTATAGAGTTGAAGTAGACTTTACAAGGAACTGCTAACCCAATCCTAAACAGAATACAATGGATAAACCTCTACTTCTGTTCATAAGACTGAGGAGGAATGTGAACCTGATGATAGGTGAACCTATCTACTCCTATTAATTTAATCTATGGAATTAGATTGTTTTCCTTCCACTGTCAATGCCTAGGGATATTTTATGTTGTTCTCTTTTTACTACTGCTCAATTTCTGCCTAGTCCAAGTTTGTACTACCCAGTGTCTTCATTTTCCACTCTCGATAGAGTCCAATTGTATCCTCAGTATCCTTCTGTAGAACCACATTTCTGTTGCTTCAAGTCTCTTCTTCATCTTTGAGGAGACTGTCCATTATTTACTGCCATATAGGAGGACAGATATCATGTAACAGTTCAGAAATCTTTTCTTTGTTTTTAACAAAATTTTTCTATTTCCTTCTTAGCTTTAACCTGTTCAAATCTATGATTAACTGTTATCTTCCACACATATCTGCATAAATTATGCTTTTGATTCTATAACCTTCTATCTTGAGTGACTCCCAAATCTTGGACAAGGTGAACACCATTATTAAAAAAAAGAAAGAAGTCATGAATAGCAATAAGTGAGGAGTACTAACATAAAATTAAAATGAGATATCTCTAGATATGGATAACAGAATAAGAATAATCTACCTTTATATACTAATTAAAGGTAAGACATTCCTTGAAGGTTACCCAGGTACCTGAAAAGCTGGAAGGCACAAGAGGTGAAATGTTGTGATGAGGCGATTAACATGAATGTAAGTAATAATTTGACATTGTTAAAATCAACAAATAGTAAACAACTCATTCTGTCATCTCCCTTAGGAAATAGTCTATTGTTGTATAGATTTTCATAAGTATGTAATATGACATACTGAAATTTTATGAATACAGGTATACCTCACCCTATGTTGTTTACTGGTTCCAGAGGTCATGACTTAGTCGAAATAACCACATTATAAACTGCAAATAAGCACTTCTCATTGTTTATTAAAGTATTTATGATATGTACACAGTTTTCTGAATAGAATAATTAATTACCTTATCTTCCAGCAATATAGCCTTACACTTAGCATTAGCACTTGCACTGGGACTTTTCTTCGGAGCCATGGGCAAAAATGTATTCTACATTGGGATATGATAAATTTTTAGCCACCCTTGATTACAGCAATTTTAGCTTGTGTAATAATGTCTCTTCTTTTTTTCAGACAATACTACATTAGTATCCATCTACTGTCATCTATGAACGATAATTGACTTATATTTTGCAATGAAAGCAAATAATAGGATGGCATCAGTGTGGCAAGTCAAATAGAGTAATTGCTAGGTTTTTCCAGGTTAATCATCAAACGGTTAATAATATTGTCAAGAAATTTAATGAAGAAGGCCATTGTCATGTGGGACAACATTCAGGAAGACTAAACATCATATCTGAGTGAACAAAAAGGGTGCTAAAGAGGGAAGTCATCAGAAACCATCATCATAGCATCAAAGATGTCACCAACAACATGGAAATGTCGCCATATGTGGTGAGAAAGACTCAGAAAGAGCTAGGCTATCAAAGAAGAGTTGCAAGAAAGAAGCCCTTGATTTCAGAGGTTAACAGGAACAGGTGTATAGACTGAGTGAGAGAATTTGAGAGCAAAGATTACGAATTTTGGCAGTCTGTAATTTGGTCAGATGAAAGTAAATTTTGCCAGTATTTGAATTTGAGACAGATTTATGTTTAGAGAAATCAGAATGAGACTTGGAACACTAAATGTCTGCAGGTGACTGTGAAATATGGAGCGATTGGAGTAATGGTGTGGGGCACTGTCTGGTTTGGAGGGAAATCTGAGATGATTCTTGCTGTCAAGCGGTTGAATGGTCCAAATTTTTTTTTTTTTAACTGGAAAATGGAGGATCTACCCTGTACTAGTTCCAAATACTGTTTATTTATGTTGAGTTGGGTTTATGTAATTAAATTTTGAAATTGAATGTAGTTTATTCCTGCTGGCTAAAAACTTTTTTTAGGCCACTGTAAATCATAATGTAAACAAGACTGAATTCAAAATTGGTGCTGGAGCAGAAAACAATGCACGAGTTACACCTGTTGACAGGAATTTGAAATAAGAACATCTGCTGAACATACTTTATTATACTAATTTTTTGTTTTGATGATTATATATATATATATATATATATATATATATGTGTGTGTATGTAAGTTATTATATATATTATTATTTATATATTATATGTGCTGTACTTATTAGAAGGCGCTCAATATCAGAGATAGAACTAACATATTTGGTTGGATTGATGTGAGTGTGACCCTGGGTTTCACGCTTTTGTGATCGTCAGACAAACGCAAAAGCGTGAAACCCAGGGTCACAAACTTACATCAATCCAAACAAATATATATAGTATACATAATATTTTTTAAATTTATTTAAATATGATTTTATATGTGTTTATTGATATTTTAGTGTTTTGACATTTCTAATATTTTTAATGGCTGATGTAAACTGGAGTAAAATGACTTAAGATGAATTTTATTTTCCATATAATATTTAAGAAAAACTGACGTATCTTCAAAAATGGTTTAAGACAAGGTATCACTGTACTTGCATTCGATCAGCAGGAAGAATTATGAGAAATGGTTCTGAAATGTGATAAAATCTTCCTGCTATGTTTATAGTAAAAGACTCAGAATTCTTTTAGGTTAGAAGATAAAGAAAACAGTTGAGCTCCTTTTTGTATTCTCATTTATAAAAGAAGTGAGAATTTAATCAGGATCTACTACAACTACTACTACAAATTATTTCTTTCAATGATATAAACCTTCATTTTTTTCATTCTTCAGTTTCTGACAGTTTGCATGTATATATGTTTACGATGGGGTGCAGAAAAGTTCTTGTCCTAATTCACTTTCCTAAATATGACCAAACCTGAATTTATTTTGGAAATCCAGCTTGGTTGGAGCAAGGACTTTTCAGCATGCCTTCGTGTATGTGTTTATACATGAAAAAGGAAGCAGGACTTAATTAGGAATATTGAATACTGGTTGTTTTAAGCATATGTTTAATAATAATAAATCATTATTAAGTTTTGAAATGTTTAGATTCTTGAATAAAAGCTTCTGCTTGAAAATAAATGTGTCTATTTACTTGTATTTATTAAAAAAATTATTTTAACAAATTAGGCATCACTTTTTCAATTAACCATGTTACTTAGAATGATTACTTTGTTACAGCTTTTGTTGACAATAAGTGAATGAAGGATATAAAAAGACTTGATTATTTACAACTAATTTGTTTAAATAATGTACTGACTATTGTTTGGATTATATGACAATAATTGTAAGTAAAATGATACACTAAAATAAGTAAGCAACTAATCATTTTAGGTCCTCTGAATATTGGTGCCAAAAATTAATACAGATTCTAATCCTTATTACTGAATGAATTGTTTCTTTATGGAAGTAGAATATTATAAATTTTGTTTCCTTTAAAATGCAATTGTCTCCTTGATATTGTTTTATTTTTAACGTGTAACAAGTTCACATTTTAAAAAAACAAAAAGGCATCTGATTAAGACTATTTTTTAATATTTAATACTGCATTGTACTTTTCAAGTCATATTAATGTTAGATTAAATCCCTCATGAATTAGGTGTGGACATGCAGAGTAGTAAGTATGAGGTGTGTTCAAAAAGTATCCGAATTTATTTTTTTCCTGCCAAAACTAAAACTAATGCTGTGTGAACCAAATCCTTTAGGTGGGAGGTGACACAAAGCTTCCTGTGTATGTGTGAACATTTTTGCACTGGTAGGCCATATCAGTTCCTGGTGTTATGCATAGAATACAGACATGTATCAGATTTTCGTTTTCCCGCAAGATGACTGAACATATCGAGCAGATATATAGCACCAAGCTTTCCTGGTCCAGAACAGCATACCATTTGTCCAACGAGATCCCTCCTCTCTCAACTTGGCACCATAGCCTGCCTGAGCATGCTTCACTTTTCACTGAGGTGTGGCTATAGTTAAAGCGGTTGTACTGCTCCTTGATTTGAAGTTTGCATGACACCATTGCCAAAGGCCTGCTGAATATTCTGGGTGGTTCGAGCTTGAGTATCACCAACCTTTTGATAAAACTTGATGCAATTTCTCTGCTTAATGGGTTCAGTCATATTGCGTGAAAACTAAAATCTGTCTGTACTCTAAAAGTTTTAGCAGGAAAAATAAAGTACTTTTTGAATGCACCTTGTATACATGTTACAAAACAATTATTTTTATAACAGCGTGAACAAATAGAAAATTCCAAGGATGGAATGGTTAAGCAACAAGGAAGTCTTAAAGAAAGTGGTAATAGAAAGAACACTTCTACTCAGAATCAAAAAAAGACAGTTGAAATTCCTTGGATGCATAATGAGGAAAACTTAACCCTCACGAGGCATGTAGAGGGCAAGAGAGACAGGGGAAGGCAGTAAGCCACTTACCTGACAAACTTGTGCAAATTGATGGTGGAATGGGAGGGGTAGTCTTAACATAGGGAGAAAAACTGGTAAGTGCCACAAAGGATAGGAACTTGTGGAGAGCCATAAGAAAAAACTTGATAGAAGTGAATTAAAAATAACTGTCACTACTTATTATAAACCATGAAAATATAAAATCCATTGTTAAATAATAAAAATCTACTTTTGCCTGTAACCCCAGACACACTTACCTGAAATAACCAATATCAATCCACATGAAATATTTGGTAAGGAAATAGTTATTATCAATAGACTGCTGCAGTAGTTCAAACTTAGCATGCATGATGCAAGAATATTCTGCATTCACTGTATTTGGAGAAAATGTTGGGTAGCCATCTTGCTGAAAGATGCTGTCAATTTGGGATTTTATTTGGAAAGCCCACAGTTTTTCTTTTCTGATGAGTATCAGTTTTGTGATGTGTTGAGTGGAATGTTGCGCACGGAGTTGTTGAAACTGTTTATATACATCCTCAGAGTCAGTGTATATGACAAGGGGGTTAAGAATACGAGCATAGACTGACATCCATTTCTTGTACTTTGTAGGTGTGATGACATTGAGTAGGCCTTTTTTGAAACTGCCCAATTCAAAGTAGGCAGTTACAAGAGTAATGTTGTCTGACAAGTTAGTACCATTTAACCAAGACCAGGAACTTTTTGCCTGAAATATATAAAAACATAGTTTAAAAAATATGACAATCTTCAAAAATAAAATTCAACATCTGTATTACCATAAGAATCTAAATACTAACATCCATCATCAAAACCATATAATAACTAACAATATGTATTTATTTATATATTTCCTGTCCCATTTGTAGTCGGAAGGTAGGTAAATCAACTTAATTTAGGAAATTTGTGAGTTATTACTTCCCTTAGTCATTTCAATAATCTATACAAATAAAATATCTGCATTTAGACAAAATTACTCCCTGATCAAAATGAACTGCATAATTAATCAGTTCCTTTAATCCTATGTTTCTTAGATAGCAGTTTTATTTGTTCAAACCTTTCATGCGAGGCATTCAGATACCTTTGTCTCTTAAGTGATCATCTTGCTTCAACCTGGTCTTGAAATAGGCTTTGTCATCACCATCTTTGTTGCTAATCTTTTTCGTTCAAGAGATATTTCTATTTCACTGTTATATTAAACAAATTTTTTTTTAACATGGAAAGATATTGAGCAAAAAGCAATTTATAATACCAGAAGTAATTAATGAATTATAGATACCATTGAACATTTAAAAATATAAAGGAAATGGATTAATTAAACAGTTCCTTGGCCTCTATTTTAATTGTGAATTCTTCACCTTTGCTTTATTGAATCCCATTACATTTTTCAAGACTTTTATTTCATTGCATATCACTATTAAAGCTTTCTAACAATTGCTGTTATGGTATGGGTACACTAGTTTAAAATAAAAGGTAACAAACATTAAAAACTGTATTTAGTTAAACAGTTTGCTGAATCACAATTATTGTGGGATGAGAGATGTCTACTAAAAAAATGATTATTAGGACATGGTATTAATTATTAGGTTGGTGCAAAAATAATGACGTAAGAATGTCGTTTTTGACGTTAAAAAATACGTCAAAAAACGACATTATTACGTCATTATTTTTGCACCAACCTAATATAATAATAATTAATATTATAAATTATAACTGTTGTCATGACACTACAGTGAACTTGCACAATAGAGTCAAATGGATATTTGTCTTTTTTGAGCCCCCTTGAATGATTTTACAGCTCAATTATGGAACTGTATTAAGGTTATTTGTACTTTATCTTCCTCTTAAGGCAAAACTTTCAGATTTCTAATTAAGAGATAGGGTTTAAGTCCGCCTTGCTCTACAGTGAAGAGCCAAAAAAAAAAAAAATGCTTAAATTTTGCATTTAACCAATTTAGACTTCTTTTAGGGGATTTTCAGTTTCAAAAATGGATTCAGCACTCCCAAAAAACAAAAACAGAGGTTTACCATTATGATTTTCTGATAAATACAAGGAGAATTATGCCAAAAACTGATATTTTGCCCCATGCATATAGTCCCAAATGCAGATAATAATCAATGAAAGGAACCAAGTTCATTTTAAATATCTTCACAAGAACATTTTTTTCCGTATTGCAGATTTAAATAATTCTAATATTAGGAAACTTACATTAAAAAGGAGAAAAAAATTTTCCTGGGTATCTTTTCTTAGTGTTATTTGAAGTTGGGATGGAGTCAAAGACAAAAATAGGTAAAATGTGACAAAAAATGATATTTTGAGAAGATTTTGTGTTGTAGGGCCCCGAAATTCACTTGATATATATATATATATATATAATTATTTATTTAAAAATATGATTCCAAATCATGACATAAGAAGTCCCATGTTTCAAAACAAGAGCTGAAAACTTCAATATAATTATTTAAATTAAATTTAGTTAAAATAAGCTCTGTTCCATCTTCAAGCGAAAATTTTTTTTGGAATAACGTGTTTCTGAAATTTACGTGTTTTAAAAAATTGAAATCAAAATTTCCATGGTAACAGCTAGGGTGAATTGTTTAAGTTGGGTAGGCGGGTGTTGGGTGTTAATAATAAGTATCAGTATAGAGTTACTTTCATAGATCCTGTTCAAAAAGTGTGTTAAATTAAATCGGCTTGTTACTAATAAAATTCATGTCAACAAGAATCCAATGACTTTCCTGGCAAAAAATACAGAAAAAGCAACTATCCAGAAGTATAAAAAATAAGTATATAAAAGATTAAATATATGTAAAGTTTGATTAACTTCCAACGGTCATAACTTGACAAAATGCTTGGAGTCAGAACAAAGATAGACCAGTTTTGAAATCCTTCAGACTAGATATAGCCGATCATTTGGGAAATGTTTAAAAAAAATGCCAAATATCCACTTGCAAGCCTCTACTGTGTAAATAAATGTTTGTCAATGAATGCTTGATTAATTGGCCAGCGATCTTGTGATGCATCAGTAGTAGCAATTCTGATTTTGAAATGAAATAGTTACTTAATGAGAATTATTCTCAACATCAATAGAAAAATAAAATAAAAGCTTATATTCATAAAATTATGTAAATCAACTAGTCACTACAGTTTTTCTTAGTTGTTTATTTAAATATGAATTATCTTGCTTTCTTAAGTCTTTTGTGCTAATCAAGTCTTTTGACTAAGTCCTGTTAGGTTGAATCATAAGTAATTTCTGTCTTTGGGAACCAATTTTAATGATGAATGTATCATCTTAACTACCAACCATATGTAGCAGTTAAGAATAAATTTGTAGTAGACTAACATACTTTAGGCAGAGCAGTTGCAGCATACACAGTAGATTAAAGGAAAAATGTTGTTTACCTCCATGACAATGCAAGATTGTATACAGCAAGATTAACACATGGAAAGATTTTTGAAAGGGTGGGGCTGGTTTATTCTCCCTATACTCACCATATCTACCTGATGTTGCATAGGCCAATTATTACCTTTTTTGATTGCGGTAAAACACTTTAATGGGGAAAACTTTATCTAATGAAAACTAGATTCAAGAGTTTGTTGAAAAGTTTATCATGTCAAAACCTATACAATTTTACTCAAAGGTATTGAAGAGCTACCTGATTAGTAGTAACAAGTCATTGCAAATAATGCTGAATGTATAATTGACTAAAACATAATTGCACTTTATTTTTTTTTTTAGAATAAAGTTGATAAACAAAAAATGTTAATTATTATTCAACTTAATAACTGTACTTGCATGATACTATGGACATCTACATAGAAAAAGAAGTGGTAGTGTTATCTCGATCTCAAGTGTTTCTATTTGATAGCCAACAATTTGGTCTTTTAAATTACATCCACTTTAACCAAAGGGGAATGGGGAAGTAAAGGAATTTATGAAGGTTTTTAGGAGATCAAGTGACAAGAAAACTGGAAATAGGGTATATCCAGATGCTGTTCTATATTAACAGTTGTGCTTGGGATTGGAGTCAGTTCTAGTCTGCCCTTAGTGGGAGGCAGATTTGACGATTGTGTGTTTCCTTTCCAATGTCACCCATTCTGGAAGTGTAGATGGGTGAGGAGTTGGTAGTGGGAAGAGATCTACATAATAGAAGTTGTCCAGTGTCACCTGCCTACCAACCCAGGTAAATCTTTTTTATAATTTATTATTATTACTTTCATCTTGTTACCTTGTGAGCATGCAGCAGGCCTTTACCAAACTTTCGGTGCCTACCAATGAGATCAAGAATTGAAATGCAATGTAATCATTGCCTGATTGGTGGAAAGCTTGGCTGAAAGTTGCATTGTATGTTTTCACTTGAATATATCAGTTGAGCTTCACCTCATTAATTGATAAAGATTGAATATTAACAAATTCAAATGTTATGTATTTTAGCATGAGCGTATTGTATAAATTAACAACCATTTAAAAAATATACTTGATAATTCACCATCAATAAATTTGATTGATTAATTCATTTTTATAGCTTATCAACCCTTTGCAGGTCATTCAAAAGCAGGAAATATTTTTAGATTGTAAAAGTTTTTTGGGGGGATATAATAATTTAGTGATACAAGTTTTACTAATTAACCCATAGCTGGGGTAAAAGAGGAGAATTCATACCAAGAGTATTTGTGTGTAAGTGGAACCAGTATTTCAATATGATGTGGCTATAAGCCTCAAGAAATTAGTAAAAATTCATTAAACAAAATTATAGTGAGAACAAGCTAGAAAATAGACAAGTTTTCTTATTTAGAAATAAAATTTGATTATTAATAAGAAAAACATTTTTCTTTCTAAAATATTTATATGTCATTAAAACAAATTGATTGTTGTTTTGCAGTTTATCAACCTGTTATGTGTTATTTAAAGCAAAAACATTTTGGATTGTAGGAGGCTGCTTACATTACTCACTGTTCCCTTATCTAAATACTGACCAGGCTCCACTAAAAGAGAATGTTATGAAAGGAAAATCTGGTTGGAATGTTTAGAATTAAAATATAGTGTTTCAATATGAAATAATGTAATGGTTGTTGCAGAGTGCTTTATACAAACAACAGAGAAAAAAGCCAGGAAATGTAACTTTCCACTTAGCTGGAAACATTTTTAAACAATCTTAACATTCACTTCACTGTTAATATTCATGTTGCCTGACTAATGGCTGTAGTAATGTAATGAAACAAAAAATAATCAAGTTTTTTAAACTTGGATTATTTTGCAACTTTGTTAAAAGAATTCATGCTCTATAAAACTATACTGACAACAAGAGTGAAAATGAACCAAGAGTCCATGATTGTTAATATATCAGCATCTGTTCTGGCTACCTCCTGGTGGCTTCTTAAAGATGGATTGGCAAGGAAGGTAAGTTAAAGTAAATAAAGTAAAAATACACATATTTGAACTGCTTTGTAACATTCAGTAAATGAAAGGCCGAAGACTCATCCTATATGATAAAATGATGAGGCTTAATAACATGCATATAACTGGAAAATTGTTTTTGAAATAAGTGATAAGTCCAACTTAATCTTTCTAAATATTTGTAAAAGTCTAAAATATTTCAGTGGAAGAAATATTAACATTGTCATGGGACAACTATCACAAGAACAGTAATGGTAATATTAGCCATTTCCTTATAAGGAAACATTATTGGCATTCATTGACTGAGCAT